TGAGGGAGCAATTAAGGCACGTGTTGTCCTCTTCACCCTATGACTTTCATGAGATGCAGTACAAAGCACTTGAATTAGGACAGCTTTTTTTTGGTGTGCAATCTAACTTAATTGAAAGTTTGAGCAGACACAAACGGTGTGAAACTGCTTCACAGGCTGACGACTCCCCATAAGGAATTAAAGAATACACTCCCTGCACTCTTTATGTCTTGTGACATACGTGTTGTCCTCTTCACCCTATGACTTTCATGAGATGCAGTACAAAGCACTTGAATTAGGACAGCTTTTTTTTGGTGTGCAATCTAACTTAATTGAAAGTTTGAGCAGACACAAACGGTGTGAAACTGCTTCACAGGCTGACGACTCCCCATAAGGAATTAAAGAATACACTCCCTGCACTCTTTATGTCTTGTGACATATGAACAAAGAGTCAAACCCAAGCAATTCAAATATTAGATGAGGCTAGGACAGGGAAGAGTAGTATTAAATAATAAATAACCCCCTCACCATTCTACAATCTAACCTTAAAAGCTGCAGGAATGTCATTAGCTAGTTCTGAAGTGGAAGTCAAAAGCAAAGAATAAGCAATTTCAATGGCTGTATGGATTTCAGTCACAGCAGGTATTTTTCTCCTGAAGTGGTGCACACCTGTTTCCAAATCTGCTTCTGTTTAGATTCCAGGTTTCAGTCTTTTGTTCTGGAAATGTGCACTGTCAAGTTACCTCATAGCTAAAAAGCCAAGTCAGGAAATCCTTTTGTGAAACTGATACCCACACAAGGATCCCAACAAAGTGCTGAGCTGATTAATTAGTGAGGCAGTATGGCAGGGACTACCCTGCTGGCAAGGAACGAGATGTAAGGCCAGATGAAGCTGCACTGTGACCCTCTGAAATCTGTCTTATTAAAATGTGTGAATGTGCTCAATTATTTCTGCAATAAATTGGGACTCTCACAGTAGTAATTTCCATTTCGAGGGGAAAAAATATAAGGAGGTCATAAGAACAGTCATGTTTGAAGTAAAGTGCTGGCCTGCCTGGCAAAGCACCATTTTATCAAGGGCTATCTTAAAGTGAACAGTGTTTCCTGTTTCTGATGCACAGAGCTAGAATAACAAGACATGAAATGACTTTAGCAATGGCAGCAAAAGCAAATTCAAGAAAAGGTAAGTGCGTGCTTAATGTGCAACCCAGTCTTGGCTCATGAATGACACAAAGAGACCTGATGAGAATCCAGCTCCTTGAAGAAATGTGGGGTCTCACAGGATCACAGAATCATTAAGGTTGCAAAAGACCTCTGAGATCATCAAGTCCAATCTATGACCTCACACCATTATGGCAACTAGATCATGGCACTAAGAGCCATCTCTGATCTGTCCTTAAACACCTCCAGGGATGGTGACTCCACCACCTCCATGGGCAGCACATTCCAGTCTCCAATCACCCTTTCTGTGAAGAAATTCTACCTAATGTCTCACCTAACCTTCCCTTGGCACAGCTTAAGACTATGTACTCTCCTCCTGTCACTTGCTATCTGGGAGAAGAGGCCAAATCCCACCTGGCTACAACTCCCTGTCAGATAATGGTAAAGAGTGATAAGGTTACCCCTGACTCTCCTCCAGGCTAAATAACCCCAATTCCTTCAGCCTCTCCTCATGGGACTTGTGTCCAGACCCTTCACCAGCTTCATTGCCCTTCTCTGGACACACTCCAGTGCCTCAATGTCCTTCTTGAAGTGAGGGGCCCAGAACTAGTTGCAGCACATCATTCTGAGTACAGGGATCACTCCCTGGTCCTGATGGCCACACTATTTCTGACACAAGCCAGGCCTGATTTCTGACACACTGGCCTTCTTGGTCACCTTGGGCACACCGCTGGGGTTAGCTCAGAAGTAAAACACCCCCCAAAGCCTGACCTAATGTCTGTGGCTGCATGACACCTCTCTGCTCCCCAGGCTGTCCATGCTGTCCCTTTGGCTGCCATGGTCCCATGGACTGCATGCACAGCTCCAGCACGGGGCTCCACTGCTCAGCTAATCTCAGCCCCCTGAGACAGGTGTTGCTGACATGACCCAGGCTGTCCAGCCACCAGGGAACAGGAACTCCCCAAAGGGCAGGTCTGGCCACTGATCTCTGCCCAGCAAATGTGTCTAAGCCAACAGAGAATGGCAAAAAACTCATACACTGGTGATCTCCTCCTGTGCCCAGGCAGGATCTCTTCAATGGAAGAACAGAAAGGGCATCAAGACAATGGCAAACCAGCACCACAAGAGGTGACTTCAAAAGTTTGACTCATTTACTGGGGTCTACAAAAGCTGAACTCATTTATCTCTGCAAAGTCACACACCAAAAGCATCTCGGGGAAAGACAAAAGAACAGAGAACCTAAGGGGAACACTGGTGAAGGAAAAGTGCTACTTAAGCTAATGGACAATGTTGGCTTAAGAACAAATGGACAACGGTTGGCCACAAATAAATTTAGGGTAAGAATCAGAAAGAAATTCCTAGCCTTCAGAGGATCCAGCTCTGGAAGAGCCTCCCGAGAAGAGCAGTGTGGGCTAAAACCCACGAAGCCGACAGAGTTTTATGAAGGGAGTTGCTTACATTTTGAAAGAGATTTTTGATGTATCGCATTTGACTTGAGAAAACACTGTTAACACACCTGAGGCTCCTTCAGCTCACATGCTGACACACATAATATACATACAAGGATTTGTTGCAGTTACTTCAGAAAGCAGAGTTGAATTTGGGGTCTCCAGGCTTCCTTCAACTGAGTGCAAATTCTACTGTTCAGAGACTTCACATGGATTTGCAATAGTCCGTGGCAGAATTTGAGTCCTTGAGGCCACTAATGGCTTCCAAAATTTTACCTGGTATTTAAAACTGCACTTGAAACCAGATCTATGAAACTGTGAAAATCCCATTTCAGTGAGAACATACAGAGATGTTCATTTGACAATGCCAAATAATCTGAAACTCCTATGGGTACTATGGGTACAAACTGAAGGAGGGGAAATTTAGACTATCAGGAAGAAGTTTTTCCCTGTGAGGGTGGTGAGACACTGTCCCAGGTTGCCCAGGGAGGCTGTGGCTGCCCCAACCCTGGCAGTGCTCACAGCCAGGTTGGATGGAGCCTTGAGCAACCTGCTCTGGTGGGAGGTGTCTCTGCCCAGGGTAGGGGTTGGAACTGGATGATCTCTAAGCTCCATTCCAACCCCTCAACATACTGTGATTCTATGAATCCTGAGGTGAATGAATGGGTTCGGTTTCTTTTTAACTGGTTTAGTTCATGCTACCTCAGCAAACCTAACTAGGGACAGGAAAACTGCTCCTCTGAAAAGGGAGAGAGGCTGAGGGATCAGCACAAGGTGCCAGAAAAGCAAAG